CTTTGACAGATTCATTCGGTCATGTAGTAGTCTCAATAGACGGTAAGTTCAACCTTCTGATATGAATTTCTAAATAAAATCTAATCTTTTATCTCTGTTTGCAAAATAAAATATAAATATATACAGAAAATTTCTTAAATATAAATTTTCAATAAAAGTTTGAATTTTTATTATTTTTTTTACTTTTTCTCTTTATCTTTTTCGGAAAATAATATAATAGCAATAAAATAATAGTTGACGTTCAAGAAGCAAGGATGTTGCTTGCCAAAAATACTTTATTACAAAACATTCTTGTTCTCGTTTCTCAAGAAAAGTGGAGAAAGTGGGAGTTTGGAAGACTTCTTATATTGCGTGTGACGGCTGTTGCATTCAATAGCCGGCAAACGAGAAAAGTTGAGGAACACGTGCTGAAAATATGCACTATCACTCTCGCCTCTGTCACACTGCTTTTCAATAAGCAGTAATAAGGCTAACATCACGAATTGAGAGGCAAAACTCTAGAAAACTTTGGCACCATGAATATTATGGAATGAGATATTCATTTTTAAAAAGAAAAAATTCACTTCCCTCTCCATTTCTTAATTTCAATAAAAAAAAAAAAAAAAAAAAGAGAACAATTTTTCTCCAAATTATTTATGATTTTTGGTAAACAAAAAAAAAATTTTTCCCATTTCACACGGTAATATTATTCCTTCATCTAAAAACTTATTTTGCTTGGTAAAACTTTTATAACATCATAAATCGTAATATAAAACTTGTTTGAACTTATTCTTTTTTTATGTTTGTCATTTTTTTTCGATAACTTTAATGTACTCGGGGTTTTTATTCCTGTTTTGTGTAAAAGTTAATTTCAAGTTTCATTTTTATCACGTTCAAGAGCAAAAAAAACACACAGAAAATGTAAACAAAGTTTTACAACGTGTCAAAGTAATGTTCGAACATAATATATGAATGTAAAGAAGAGAAAATTTTTATTTTCTTAATTTAAAAATTATTTGCGTGAAAATTTCAAGGAAAATAAATGCTTTCATTTTTTTTTAATCTATATATTATGTTTATAAACCAAATGCTTGAAGTGCAATTTCCGGATTTGCAGTCGTGTAAATGGCGTGACACTGACAACGATGTGTGTCCAGGACACTAAACCTGCTTTCCCATGTAATGCCTTTAGTGTAATATTCCTGCATTCAACACTTATCGTGAATATTGATTTTGTCATGGAAAATTAGTCTCTATAAATATTAATTTTGTCGAGTTGACAAAATTTACTTAGTGACGAAATTTTTATTAAAATTTAATAAAAACCAAAATTCATATTTAGTAATAACTTTAGAGAAAATATTTTTCATAAAATACGATTTTGTATATAAAACTCTTTTTATTTAACCAGCAAAAAAATTTTTACAACTATTTTACTAAAATAATTTCTGTTATTCTTGACTAAATAAAAAGACGCCTTATTAAAAGTAAAAAAAGAATTTTTTTTTTGCTTTATTTACATTCAAGTTCTCATTAATCGTAATTGAAACGTGTGGAACGTGTTTAACGAATAATGCCGAAATGAAAAGGGAATCGTGAAAAACCGAGTGGAATTTAAAGTTTTATGTATTATGTTGTATAGCTGGTTTTTTTTAAAAAAAAAAGTAAATGAAGCAGAGAACGTGGATATTTTTCGTGAAACGAAAGCAGATACTGGTTGAGTGTAAAGCGCTCGGAACATGTCACAACGTTGACAGTGAGATAATGTATGAGGATGATGTATATATTCTTCGATCGAATAATATATATCGTTGTGACAGTGATACATTGATCGAAAGTCAGGACTTTTAAACTCTAAGTCATCGTGCATGTGTCACTGGGCACAAAATGTATATGTATATTTATGTACACCAAGTTACTTTTGTTTACGTTCATTACGTATGTAAACTCAATTTTCATTCTGCAAAAAAATGGGGGAAATATAACAATACAAAACAATTCGGAACTATTTTTTTGGACAAATTTAGTTGAAACTCATGTGAAGAGATCAAGTTTTAATCAGTGTTTTTGAAATAAACAAATTGTGGTTAAAGTTTTGGCAAAGCAAACTAAAAAAAAAATTATTGACGGTAAGTTCCAACTATTCGATTTTTTGTGGTACTTTCAGTCAATAGAAATTAGAAAGGTCTTTGTTTTTAATATTTAGTAGATACAATATGAGTAATAATTTCGTAATAATTAGGTGACGGTCTACGATAGTTTCACTCGACGGTAAGTTAAAATTGTGGTTTCTATAAGATAACTTTAGAACATGAAGTTAAAGACTACAATCCTAGAATTTTCATCGACGGTAAGTTTGACGACATAGGTTATTTCTGGTAGTCACGATTGACAGTAAGTTTAATCGTACTAGTACATCAACAAAAACTTACCGTTGAGGAAACTAATTTCATTTCAGTCAATAGGGATTTAAAATCAGTTCACATAAAATTTGTCAAGAAGCGACGGTAAGTTCCATCGTTATTTATCGGTAGTAAAAATCGACGGTAAGTTTCTACATTAGTATTGTCAATTGTCGACTATTTTAATTAAGTAAAACTTCAGAAGCTTGTTAATTTTTTCGACGGTAATTTTTTCACTTTATTCCCTCAAAGTTTTTAACGTATCACAATAGTATTAACGGACGGTAAGTTTCTACTGGCGATTATAGTCACTATTTGAACTAAACTCAATAGTACACTTGTTTAAAACTACCAATCCTAACAAATATCAAAGTTTAAACTTACCATCGATTAAAACTACCAAATTTGAAAATTATCTTGCAATTGGAACTTACCGTCAAGTATATTTCTAAATTTTTTTTTGAAAAATACCACTAAGCTTATTGATTACAAACCTTCAGTAATCTTGAGCAAATACCGTCCTTCGTCTAGTTCAAATATTCGCAAATTGTAAATTATATTAACCACAAACTATATTGAATTGCTAGACGTAAATTTCACAATTTGATCACCATCCTATAGACTAATTCAGCTTTAACGAGCAAATATCAAACTAATTGCCATGTTTCTATATGCAAGAATTTGATGAAAGATGAACGATGTATTATATTGGAAATTGAATTTTCCTCCTAGTTAAACATGTAAAAGAGAATTTCCATCATTTTTTTTTTTTTTTTTTTGATTATTAATAATAATCGATTGTGTGTTATTAACAAAATTGATTTCTCGCGAGAGTGGGGAGGGAGGGGTGGGGGGTAAATGTGAAAATTAGCTGTGAACGTGCGTCAAAGTTGGTTCAGAAAGGGTTATAGAGTGGCGACGCTGTGATGTATTCACGAGCGTGTAATTTTCATCATATCCAGGGGAGGTACGTGAGGTCGAGGCTCGTTGCCGTTGGCAAGCGTTAGGCGGCGTGTAATAACCACCCAAATCCCTGTTAACGCTTCACTCTCTTGTCCCTTTTGGGCTTTTGAACGTTTGCAGCTAAGCATTCAAGAACACATCCACTTGTTCTCGTACAGATGAATTTTAACAGAGAATTTAAAAAAAAAAATTATAATTTTCCAGTCGCAAAAAAAAAATTACAAACGAAATTTTACATTACTCGAACTATGTAAATTATAATTAGGTAATTAAATGATAAGCAGTAATATAATATTTATCATGTAATTAAACATTGTGTAATTGCTTATTCATTACTTAATTAACTATTAAGTGTGTAATTTGTGTTATGTAATTAAGTACTAATTATGTAATTGAATATTAATTGTATAATTAAGTATTAATTATAAAATAAAAAAATATTAAAATATAATTTACTAATTCAAGGAAAAATGTCAGTCACTAATTAAAATTTGAAGAATTCTTTTAATTTTTGTCTGACAGAAATATTTTTCCCTCTCACTGCTCTCCTTTTATATAATAGTGACATCAATGTGAGAAATCCTATTTTTACTTTTATTATTATTATTATTATTTTTTATGTCTTTTGTGTGACCCCCACTCGGTATTTTCCGTGTGTACATAAAGGTCCTGCAAAATTGTGATGCGAGGAGTTGAGTGTTCGATTCGGGTCACGTCGTCGCTCCTTTTTAGAATCACCGCGATTCATCTTCGTTGCCATCGACGAAACGAACGCTAGTATCCAGGATCCATAGGACACCAGACGAATTTATCGTAGAACGCGAATTGCTATGTTCCTTTGCACAGCATCTTCGCCACATGAAAGTGATTGGCAAAAAGATCTTAAATTAGAGGAGTCGGAATTTCTCTTTCTTTCTTTCTTTTTTTTTCTTTCTTCTTGACACAGGGGAAGAAGAAGAAGTGAACCTGATCATTTATGAAGCCTATTTTCTTATTCCAGTCACTTTTACAACTTTGACTCGAATGATGACTTATTTTTTACGACTTTCAATCATTCTTTACATTCATACTTCATAGTACATTGCGTATAAATTTTACTATTTATTATTAAAACACATTTCTCTCTCTCTCCCTCTCAATTTCCCTTCTCACGAAAAATCAAAGGAAATGAAAAAACTTTTTCACAAAATGGAACACACGAAAAATTTTTAATACACTTTCAAAATTCATAGAAATATGACGGAGACGAAAAATGAGAAGAAGAAAAAGTTGAAATTCCACTCGAGTTGAAATTCAAGAAAAGAATATAAAATTTAATTATATAAAAATTAAACTGGAAAAAAACCCAAAAAATTAAAAATTTTATTATTTTAAAATTTTACTTTTTTTAAAAAATTTTTAACTGAATAAAATTTCATCTCGAATTAAGAATAAGAAAATGAAATTGACACACTTTTGAACAAATATGTGGGGGAGGGAAAAATTGGATAAATTTCGAATGCAAATAACATGGTTGGAAATAATGCAAAAAAAAGTAGATTGACGTATGATTGAAAATCAATGAGGAAAGTCTCGTGGAGAATTTCTGTCGTGGCGCTCGATCATTTATTCTTACACGTCTTGGGGATACCTTTAGGGAAAACCCCGAAATGAGACATGGACGAACCTGCCATTTTCGGTGTGAAAAATGATCAAACTTGTACAATTTCTAAGAGCGGAGATTATTCAAACTTGATGTGAGGAAACTCACAAGAGAACGGTAGTTATTTTCCTTGCCCACAAAATTATTATACATATACTTAAATAAGTTTTCAACTAATTACCTTAATAACAAACTTGTCAAATTTTTATAACTAGAAAAATAAGGTCTGAACTTACCGTCAACTGAATCTACAATGAATCGAACTTACCGGTAAGAAATATTTCAAAAATAAAAATTACCGTTGAATATTCACTACCGACGATTTACATTAACAACGATTGAAACTACGGGAAAAAGAAACTTATCGTCACCAATTTTAACCAACTATTGAATAAGTAAACTTACCGGCAATTAAAATTGCTGAAGCTGAAACTAACCGTCGTCAAATTTTTACTAACGATTGAATTTACCGTCAATTGGAACTACAATGAAGGAAAATTACCGTCAAACACAAATTAAAAAAGGTTTACCAAAAACTACTTCCTACTATTGAAACAACCAATGATTGAACTTACCGTCAACTGAAAGTACAATAAACTAAGTTGATCGACAACAGAAAATTAAAAATTCTGAGTTTTCGTTACTATTTGCTAGCAATGATTGAAATTTTTAACAAAAATAAAAAAATAAACTTACCGTAAAATAATTAAACGGTAAGTTCATTTTTTTATTTTCGTTTAGTTTCGATTGAAACTACAAAGCACTACATTTAGTGACAACGAAAAATACAAAGCTGAAAATTATTGTTAACTATTTCCTATAATTGAAACTACTAACTATTGAATTTACCGTCGATTGAAACTACAGTGAAGTAAACTTACCGGCAACTAAAATCGGGAAAGTGAAACCTACCCTCGCATACTTACTATTACAGAAACTACGTTGAATTGAAATTACCAACGATTTAATTTACAAAAAATTGATACAACGGTCAATAAAAATTACAAATTTGAAATTTACCGTTAATAACTGTTCACTAATTAAATTGGCAACTATTAAAATTATAATAGCTATATAACTACAAAGGACTGAACCCACCGACAATAAAAATTGAATAAAACAGAAGTTAAACTACTGACGACTGATGTTCTCATCGACCGAACTTACCGTCGATTGAGAATACAAAGAACAACTTACCGTCAACTAAATTTAAAAACCTGAAACTTACCGCTGAGTAAATTAATATATTTTGTCATTGAAACAACCAACGAAATCGATCCTAGTGTTGAATAAAAACTCCAAAGAATTAAACTTACCGTGAAAAGAATTCTCAAGAAACTGAAACTTACCGTCCATTATATTTCTCACCACTAAATCAACAGACTATTTTAATAAAAAAAACGAGTAAGAAAATTAATACTTCTTTGAGGCCAATTAAAAAATAGAAGAACAAAAATTGTAATTCTCCTGTAAAAAATTTTATTTCCCTCTTCATTCACCGTTAACAAATCGAAATTCGTCGAATTGCTATTTAAACATCCATTAGTTGTACGTTGAATATAAATCAGCGTAATATTGATGTCCATTTGGGAATACATTTTCCTCCATAGACATACATATAGTGGAAATTCATCGAAATCTAGAAATACCGTGTTTCAATTCATATATGTATAACTGTAATTGGAAACCATAATGTGTACATATATATAGACGTATATGTATAAATGTGTCTACAGTTAAAGGGCCAGTTTTGCCTGGCGGAAACACTTTCGGAACCCACTTGGGAGAAATCGACGCTTTTCGCGTTGTGCCATCCAATTCGTATCCATCAATGTCAATGCCGTCGGCAATAGATCCACTCTTCGTGGTAGACGCGCTGAAACTTTAGGAGAAAAATCCTGGCGACATGAAAACCAACGACGACGACGACGACGACGACCTCTTTTTCCGACAAGTACTTGTCGAACCTTCCGCTGGCTGCAACTGAACTATTCACGAATTCAATTTTTCAAGAAAGTGCCGAATGCAGTTATATACGTATATATAAATTTAATGCCCGTGGAATTTCATTTTCTCGATACGAATAATATTTGAAAAACTTTTTCTCTTACTTTTCAATCGATGTAACTTGGATTTTAGTTTCGATCGATATTTTATTAATTTAGGTCGAATGGATCTATTAAATAAAATTACGGTTAGCTCTGCCTTTTTTTATTAATAAAACTTACCGTCGCCTATTTTTACCAACGATTCAATCTACCGTTAATTTTTAAAACTGCAATAAACGAATCTTACCGCCAAACAAAAATTAAAAAAGCTAAAAAGTAACAGAAGATTATTTCTCACTATTGAAACAACCAACGATTCAACTTACCGTCAACTAAAAGTATAACGAACTAAACTTATCGACTTATCAATTGAAATTTCCAACGAAAATCTAAAAAAACTGAACTTATCGGCAACTAAAATTGCTAAACTAAAACTTACCGTCGCCTATGTTTTTTTACTAATAATTAAATTTACCGTCGATTGAAATTAAACGAAGGAAAATTACCGTCAACTGCAAATTAAAAACTTTGAGACTTACTGTTTCTATTGAAACTACCAAAGATTGAACTTACCGTCAACTGAAAGTACAACAAACTAAACTTATCGACAAAAGAAAATTAAAAAATGTGATTGAGTTTTTATTTATTTATTTTTTTTGTTTTTTTCGAAAAATCCAGTCACGAGTATATTTTTTCTCATGAATTTTAATAAAAATTGTTGTAAATAAAATAAAAATAGAAAGGGGACGCAAAAAGGTGAAAAATAGTGGAGGAGGAAAACATATAACGTACAAGTATGGTTCAGCATAAGTAATAAAAGTGTAATTATGGCTTGGCGTAATACTATCAGCCGGTTCATAAATTATGTCAATTTTCAAGAAAAGAGGGATATAACGCTGTTGCCAGGAGGGAAGGAGGAAGAAAGAGGCGCTCACTTCTTCTTCTTCTTCTGCGCGTTGAGAAGTAAGAGAGAAAAAGAAAAGCAAGTCTAGTCCGTGCTCTCGCATAACACACGAGACAGCACCTTCATACGACGTACATTCACTCGGCTGATTTATAACTAACTCTAAAAAGCGTGTAAGACATCATCCCATTCCTTTATGTCTGCAAGCTCATCCAAAACCTTTAGCCAATGTACGTGTCTTTCTCTACCTTTTTATCCCGATATCATCATCACAATAATGTAAGAATTGAACAAGAAAAAATTGATTTAATTTTAGATAAAATACAAATTATTGTACTTACCGTCGATTGAAAATACAAACGACTGAATTCAATGAGAACAAAATTTCAAAGTTGAAAATTTCAATGTTATTAATTTTGAATACTGCTGCCTATTTATTTTTATTGAAACTACTCCATATTGAACTTACCGTCGATTGAAACTAAAAATACTGAACATAAACGTCAACAAAAGATTAAAAAAAGGAAATTTACTACCAATGAATGAAATTTCCAACGAAAATCCAAAAAACAGAAAATACCGGCAACTAAAACAGCAAAACTACAACTTACCGTCGCCTTTTTTTCTAGATTGAATTTACCGACGATTAGAAATACAGTAGACGAAACTTACCGTCAAACACAAATTTAAAAAAGCTGAGATGTAAATCTTAGCTTCTATTATTGAATCTACCAACGATTGAACTAACCGTCAACTAAAACTACATTGAATTAAACTTATCGACAATCAAAAATTACAAAATAAGTTTACCTTAACTATTTGAAATAAATCATTTGAAATTTCCAAGGAAAATCCAAAAAACTGAACTTACTGACAACTAAAATTGCGAAAATAAAACTTACCGTTGTCTATTTTTTTTACTAACAATTAAATTTACTGCCGATTAAAAAAATATAAACGAATCTTACCGTCAAATACAAATTAAAAAAGCTAAAAGTTAACAAAGACTATTTCCTACGATTGAAACTACCAAAGGTTGAACTTACCGTCAATCGAAAGTACAATGAACTAAATTTATAGACAACAGAAAAATTAAAATTGAAAGTTTACGTTGACTATTTGCTACCAATGATTGAAATTTCCAACGAAAATCCAAAAAAACTGAACTTACCGGCAACTAAAATTACAAAACTGAAACTTACTGTCGTATATTTTCTGCAAATGATTGAATTTACCGTCGATTGAAACTATGAAGAACTAAAGTCACCGGCAACAAATATTAAAATGCTGAAAATTACCGTCGATTAAAACTACAAAGATCTGAACTTACCGCCACCTAAATTTCAAAATCCTTAAACTTACCTACTATTTTCTATCGTAAAAACTACCAACTGTTCTGACTTACCGGTGATTTAAACTACAAAATAATAAACTTACCGTCGATTCAAACTACAAAAAAAAATTATCGAAAAAAACACTGCGAAATTACCGTCAACAAAAATTGCAAAGCCCAAACTTTTTAACTTTGAAATACCAAAGAGACGATAAATTATATTGTTAATATGTTTCAATTTCAAGTACTAGATTTTAATTCCCCTAAAATTTATTACTATTAAATTCTCTTAATTTTGCCAAATAGATTGAAATTATCTTTTCATTTCTCTTCCTCACGACGAAAATACAACACGTTAAAATAAATTGCCCTCGAAAATCGAAGGTTTTCTATTTCCACAGACATTTTTCTTGCCGAGAATATCGAACCCAAGAGAGGTTGAATTCCAGGAATTACGATCGGGAATGTTGGTCGTGTTTACGGATTTAAATGGAGTAGAAAAAAAAGGAGAGCAAAAAGATGGCAGTGTTTATCGAGTTGAGGAACAAAATTCTTTTTAATCATCCTGACTTACTGCACTATTGTTTTTGACAAAGAATGATTAAAAAAACTAAAATCCCTTTTAAAGTACATTATTTAAATAAATAAATAAATAAATTAATTAATTAATTAATTAATAAATACAAAGTAATTACAATTTACTTTATTCTGATTTTTTGATAATTTTTATTATTTTTTTTCTTTATTAATTTTCTATTTTTTATTTTGTATTATTTTCTTCTTTATTTAATTAATTTTTTATTTTATTTACTTATTATTTGAATTAATTTTTTCCTTATTTACTTGGTTCTTAATTTTACCTTTCAGAATTTATTATTTTGTTTGTTTATAAATCATTTCATTTATTTGCTTATTTGTTAATTTAGCTATTTTTTATTTACTATTTTGCATTATCAATTGTATTTATTTTATTACTTAGTTTATTTATTTATTATCTTCAGGAAAGATTAATGCTGAAACGATGCATTGCGATCCTTTGGGAGTGTATAAATGAGATTGAACAGTGGTCCAGGAGATTTAAGGTTGACAGAAGTACATTTATACACACGAAAAACATTCCTTCTGCGATCTTGAAAGGAACACGGGAAAAGAATTCATGACAGTCATGAAGACAACGACACGACATTGGTCTCTTTTTTGAAATTGTAAACTCGCCTTAACGACACTCCGGGGATTGAAGAATTTCTCCTCAAGTCACTTTAAATATGTTTCTTAACATTAATGTAAAATGTTTTTAAAAAAGAAATAAAAGTTTTCAAAAACAATTGAGAAAGAATAGAAGAATTAAAAATTCCAAAAATTGCGTATTAAAAAATAAAACTTCTGCCTAGTTGAAGAGAATCTATTCAGAAAATAAAAGCTCTCTTTAAGTGATAATAAGTTTTCTAAAGCATCAATAATTCATTTCTGAATTTTAGCAAAAGTTTCTCTGAACAAATTGCTCGTGTAAAATGATTTTCCATAATAAATTAAACCCGATTGTACCAAATATCACTTAACTTATGCAATAAATCACTAACTGAGAATCTGATTTATTAAATTATAACCAAACTTTTTGTAACTTCCGACAGTGCGCAAGATAGAGAGGAAGAGAGAAAATTCTCGAATTGTCTACAAATACATTGCACGCTGCAGGTGTCATGAAAGCAAATACCTATTTTTGTATTTTTTTTTTTTGTTTTGTTTTGTTCTTCCTGTTGTTGTTATTTTTCCCTTTATGTGTTAGCCATTTATTCGTTTTTTTTCCTTCCTTCTTTCTTTCTTTTTTTTTAATTTCTACGAGAGAAGCAGTGGGTGAAATTAGCTACCGGTCTCTACAGTACAATACCAGAAAAACCTCACCTCGGAACTCTTCTTCATCCTAGCACGCAATACCCAACTCGGATGCACCCGGAGAAACACGCAAATGACTTCATTACATTATAACTAACCACGTTTGTCCCCGTTACACCACAAATCTTCTACCCTTTAAACCACCAAACAATCCTTCGTAAAATGCAAAATTAATAGTTTCTCTGAATTTATAAAGAAAATATACCTTTTCTAAAAAAATTGAATAAATAATTCTCATTTTTCATTATAAATTAAGCTTTCTTGAAAGTGAAAAAATTATATGTGTACAGAAATATATATATATATATATATATATATATAAAATGTATATTAAAAACATATTTCATTAAAAATTCACAAAAAACCAAAGTTTGGAATTTTCAAAGTGAATAAATCTCAAATTTTTTGCACTTTTTTTTTTAAGTGTGATAACTTTTTTGAATTTTGTTGTACAGAAAAGTGTCTAAAGGAAAAGTTGTTTGTTTTTTAACCAAATATGAGGAAAAAAGCAGAAAAACAGATTTTGAAAATAATTTAAAAAGATAGTAAACTTTAAAATTTTCAAAGCTAATAAATCTCAAATTTCTTGCACTTTTTTTTTTAAGTGTGATAACTTTTTTGAATTTTGTTGTACAGAAAAGTGTCTAAAGGAAAAGTTGTTTGTTTTTTAACCAAATTTGAGGAAAAAA